ATTGCATTGAATCTATAGATTGCTTTGGGTAGTATAGCCATTTTGACAATATTGATTCTTCCAATCCATGAACACGGTATATTTCTCCATCTGTTTGTGTCCTCTTTGATTTCTTTCATCAGTGTTTTATAGTTGAAAGACACTTTATACAGGGTGGTCTGGGAAGACCCCTCTCTGGAAACAACATGGGAACTGAAACTTAAAATACAAGAAAGAACAGGTGATATCAAGGGTAAGAAAATGGGATTTATACAAAGGGATGGCAACAATAATGTTCCAAAAATGAGAAATATAGTCATATTTAATTAAATTAAGGAGTCTGGAACAAAGTCAAGAAAGGAGATAATGAAAAAAAAAGTTGTTTAAGGAATAGACTGGGAACCAATCACATAGAAAGATATTGCTTCTTAGGTCAGAGAAAAAGCACTTTTATGGGGGAAAAAAAGTGTAATAGAAAACCAATGGAGTATAGAGGAGACGGAAGAGTGACTGTGCATGACTTTGTTTTAGAGTCAGTCTTACAGCTGCAGGGGCGTAATGGGTTTCATGTAGGTAAGAGTCGAAATAGGGCAATTAGTTGGCAGGATATCACTGCATTCCAGCAGGACGTCATGGTGGTTTAGAAAACACGATATTGTTACACAAAGATAAAGGGAGGGATTCAAGAGTTTGCTGAGAGACTGGTTGTGAGAGGAGAAAAAGAACCAGGAAATACTCATTTTATTTATTGTCATCAGATGACCTCTGCTCATCTCAAAAGAAGTGTAGCAAAGCTTTATTAAGAATCCGTATGGAAAATAGGAGCCTATTCAAATATGCATAATTGAGGATTCTGCTAAGATACAAGATATGCATGTGATTGACATCAGTATCCAGAATTTCATTATTTTCAGGGGCAAATACACAGAAAAACAGGTGTTCTGATCCACTGATCTGTGTTTGGAATTTTTCAGGGTAGCTAAGCCAGAAAGTGATTGAAGCTAAGGAAGTGAAAAGAGCTAATAGGAAAAGACACTGTGCAGATGGACAGCCCTGGGCTTCAGGCGAGGGAGGAAGGAACAGGCGTTTAGGAGGAGGTGGTGTAGGAGTGAGGAATATGAATGACGGGTCTGGATGTCTCAGCGTAGGTGTCGTGGGTGAGGAGGGAGGTGAGTGCAAGGGCAGACAACTAGGGAGGGAGGGAGACAGTGGTTTAAAATTTTGGTAATAGCAGAGCTAGAGGACCACAGACTTTACGGTCCAAGGGGCAGAGCGTAACCCAAACAAAGGGAAGTCTCCTTCACTGGGGTGGAAGTCAGGAACACAGAGTTGAACATGTGAGCTGTGTGACTCACTTTGACACCACTTGGGACATGGCCTTGAAGAAGTGAAGAATATATACTATTCTTCAATGTCTTGCTCTTAATAGGGGCTCAGAAAGTAATTGTGGATTTGGAGTTTTTCAAAGTTTTTTTTTTTTTGATGCCAACCATTTTTGAAGTCTTCATTGAATTGTTTACAATATTGCTTCTGTTTTATGTTTTGATTTTTTGGCCCCAAGTCATGTGGGATCTTCATTCCCCGAACAGGGCTCAAACAAGCAGCCGCCTTCATTGGAAGCAAAGTCTTGACCACAGGACTTCCCAGAAAATCCCTCAAAAGGTAATTGTTAAAGTGACTTAAATTTAGGTCTCTAATATGCATATATTTGTTTTTCTCTGATAATGCTTTTCTTGCTTCTATGGCTATTCCAACCAGAGTATTTTGAGGACATTTTAAAAGATTTTGAAAGTACCACAGAGAATATAATGGAACACAAATATTATTGTCCATGGCTTACCACTCCCAAACTGATATCAAATATTCAAGTATTATGTCCTCACCTCATTACCAGTTAATTGAATTAAAACTAAATTTGTATTTATGCTGTGTAATTAGGAATTACAGGTAAGGGACAGGAACATCCTCATTATTGGCCATCTGTTTGTAAGGAAATAGCAGGGGCAAAATTCCCAGGAATGCTTGTGGTGAGTGTACACACACACACGGAATATGAGTGTTGAAAGGACACCCTCACTGCTTAGAAAAATAAATGCTGGCTCAGGAATTAAAAAGTCACACAACTATTAATAGTTCATAATAGACCTGATTTGTCAGCCACCTTACATGCAATTATTTTCTTCCTAGAACTATTCCTTCTAAAGTGTCCAAAGAGATCTCTGCCCCCTGGGCATGTGCAGGAAGTGACTGGCAGGTGAGTAAGCAGCCAGCCCTGTGAGTGGGTGAACCAAGGATTAAGGAGACGACCTGTCCACTGCTCTTTCTGGAGAAGAGCATCATTTAACAAAAAATCAGTCCCTCTGTTCTGCTCTGAGAACAAACAGTGCTCCTTTTCAATGAAGGCCATTTATCTTATTTTTCCTCTTAAAAAATTAAAATATTATCTTATTTTTCCTCTCTTGTTCTCATCTAGCATTTTTTAAGGTCATTGGCGCACCATTATGATTGGCATCCATGTGTACCAATTGTCAGGTAAGCCGATTAGTGATGCCCCTAGCTTCCTGACTGGCAGAAAGGAGTTAACGGACATGCCCAGGGTAATAACAGAGCCAGAGTCCAGCCGAGGAGTGTGGTCAACCAAGCCACTCACTTATCAGCACAGAGAAGGCATGTAAACAGTGATAAAAAGATAAACACATAGACAAAATCATCTATGGTGAGTTTTACTGCCCCAGAGGAGAGTAAATGAAGTTTCCATGTGAGTATTCATTCATGCTTGCATTGCGTTCTCATTCATAATTTTTTTTTTCTTTTTAATCACCCATTATGTGCTTGGCTTGGGGAGGTCTGATATAATGGTAGTGCAGTCTGTCACACCTTTGGCTCAAGGCCCTGCCATGTGACCTTGGGGAAAACAGTCCCCACGTAGAGGTTTCATTCTCCTTATCTAGAAAGCAAAACCAATGGCTCTTACCTCTTAGAGTCACAGTGATGACTGCAGTATCCCAGATGGTCTGTAAGTGCACTGATGAGGCAAATATTTCACATGGACTCCAGGGCAGTACTGTGCTAGAAAGACGCATACAGAATCGTTGCTATCATTAGAACTACACAAAATAAAACGCACACTTCTTGTTGTCAAGACACTTAGTCTTGTAGAGGGGTTGGATGCCCACGTACTCAAGGAGGAGCATGCTAAACGCCTTAGAGGTGACGGACTAATGAACATGCAAACATAAGGGAGACTCGCTTTGGTTAGTGTGATTCTAGAGGGCGTCAAGATGCTTGAGGTCTCAAGAAAGACCTTGAAGGAGAAGTAGAATGTTAATTGGCAGAGATAAAAAGGACAGGCACAGCAGGCAGAAGGAATGAAATAAATCAAAGCTGAGGAATGAGAAAAGGGAGCTGGCAAGCTATTGACAAATTGACAAGGCTGCTTCCAATAGAATATGCATCTAACAAGGTTGATGCTACGTCTGATGAGGGAGGTCGGGAGAAGAACACAGATTCTCCAAGTCAGGCAGAGCAAAAAGCCCTGGGCACCAGGCCTGCTCACATTCTTCATTTCTACCTCTCCTCCTCCCTCCCAGCCACGGCAGCTGTCTAGAGGTAAATTGTGTTCGGGGCCCTGTGTCTCGTTCTTGTGATTTATTGGCTCAGTCTTCCAGCGGGGTGAGAATACAGAGTGTGCTGGCTGGCACATACGTGGGGAATTTATGTTGCATAGCCAAACATCATGTCTGTCTATCTCTTCCCAGTAATCTCTGATAATACCCAAATGGGCTTTTTATTTTAAACATCTGGACAGCCTTATGGTGGTTGAGAATTAAGGTGCTGAGTGAAGAAAACAGCACAGTCATAAAGTCTGTCAGATAAACAAAGCTTTCTTTGGAACATTAACTCCTTTACTGAGAAATCTTCTCTGTTCCTCAAAACACACTTAGTAACTTTACATCTTCATCTCCAGGTAGCACTTTTCTCCTGCACATACTCTCATGGCATTTAATGGCATCATTAAGGTAGGAAACTATGAGATATTAGCATAAAAAGAACATTGTCAGAAAAGAGATGCAAAAGGCCCTCTCTCATATGCACTCTTTCTCCTCCCGATTTGGCGTTTGCTTTTGTTTTATAACAGCAGAGATTCCCAGCGTGGGTGGTGGTAATTTTCGCTAGATAATAACTCTGTCGACACGTCATAAATTGGCAAGAGGTGTGTGTAACTCAGGGAAGGGGAAGAAGTTGGAATGGAGAATAATCAAGTAGTTGTGTTTGATTTTTAATACACACAGTTATTCAATAAACAGAGGCCGTGTTTCCTCTTCTTTCTCTGAGATCTCAAGGGTTTCTTCTCGCCCTAAAGTGATGAGAAGATCTGATGGAATGTGTGACCTTTGACAGCTCTGAGCTTAGCGAATGCCCTGCCATCTGTTCAGTGCCCATAAGGCTGGTCCTGGCATTTCTGGCCAGTGACCGTCTTCTCACTCTCCAAGATTCAGCTCCCCTCTTTTCTAGAGCATAAACTTAGCTGATTCCCACAAGGTAGAGCTGGAAGCTTGCTTCTCTGAATGACCACAAAACCACGGGTACTTCTCACAGGGTTTGTCACTGCCTTTACAAGCATAAGTCCCCTACTGGATGTGACCCACAAGCACAGCTAGGTGTGGTTGGTGGGGATTCTTGAATTCTTTATCACTGGTTCAGGTCCCAAGTGCAGGGCTGCGAAGAGAGTTCGACATTTAACATGTTAAAATTTCTGTGGTTTTGTTTTTCTATTGCTCCATAACAGATTAGCACAAACTTTACAGCTTAAAATAACATACATGATCTCTGTGTCTGAGGGTCAAAGGTCTAGGCAGGGAGTTATGTCCTCTGCTTTGAGTCACTCAAGCTGTTATCTAGGGCTGGTGACTCATCAGAGGCTCCACTGGAGGGGCACTTACTTCCAATCCCACCCCTCACCCTGGGGTTGTTGGCAGAATTAATTTCCTTATACCTGTAAGACCTATGGATCTTACAGGAGAAAAAAGATCACTTTTTTTCCCCTCAAAGCCAGCAAGGAAAAAAAGACAAGTCATAGTCTTCTAACTTGGATACCTTTTATTTCTTTTTCTTATCTGATTGCTGTAGCTAGGACTTCCAATACTATGTTGACTAGAAGTGGTGAGGGGACAAACCACAGTCTTACATAACACAGCATAATCACAAGAGTGGTGCCTTGCTATCTCTGTGCTATCTATTGGTTAGAATCACGAGTCCCATCCTAGGATTACACCAAGCTATGACTACCAGGAAGTGAAATCATAGGGGTCCTTCCAATGTCTGTCTACCACTCAATTTGTTTAAGAAATCTCTCTCACAAACTACTTTGTTTTCCCTGATCATAGCATCACTGAACTTGATGTTTCTATATGTCATAACTTTCAGGTATTTAAGGTGACTTGTTCAATACCACCTGGTATTTCATAGGTCCTTACAGGGCAGAGTTAATGTCTTTCTTATTTAACAGTATATTCATAGTATCGAGCAAGGGCTTAGCATATGCTAGGTATTTGATGTTATGGCTCAAATGAATGAATTCTTTAATTGCAGACAGTGTATCTGAGAGAGCTCAGTCTTTGCTGGGAGCCACAGGTTTTGAGCCTTACCTTTCTTTATGGAATAGTTCCTTCCATAAGTGTTGGCTTAGGAATGAATAAAACATCCACAGTTACATCCCATTCCTGTAACTAATTTTCTTTATATATTCAGACCTCTTCTTTAAAGCAGGTCTGCATGGGCAAGTTCCAAAATAGAAGATTTTTGCCTCTGGTCAGAAAGCCTAAAGTTATTCAAACATGAAATAGGCAGAAATAAAAGATAGTTGAAGGCACACTCAACTTCCCTGCAGATTCTCTTTGGGTCCTTGAAGCTGCACACCCTCATGCTTCCATCCCCTTTTCACTCTCTGTTTTGATTCCATTCTACCTGGAATGGCACACAGTTCTTGATTTTCCAGAAGCTCTGATTCACTCTTCTCTCTTGATGCCCTTTGACCACCTTTCCCCTGATCCTGTATAACGCTGACATCCAGTCTCTCTAATCTCAGTCAAGTTTGACTTGTTTACATGCCCAGAAATGCCCACAGGTGAGCACTTACCTGCCCCCAAATTTGGCTGCATTTTGTCTACTCCCAATGCTCCCAGCAATGCCTGTGATAACACAAGGAGGTCTGGTAGCTCCAAATTTGGGGGCTCCTCTGGACTAACATCACCTCTTTCAAAGACTTATATGTAAAGACACAGTATGCTCCAAGAAATTGGACAGAAAATATACACCAAGCACAGAGAATGTGTAAGCCTAAAGTTGTATATTGATATCAGGTGAAATATATTTCAAAATCAGAAGTATTAAAAAATGAAAAATAGAAGCTTTGTGAGTCAGGCAGGGGGGTGACATTATCACCCTTCCTATGTGAGAAAAGAGAAAACTCAGACTTCTGAGGCTGAGTCTTATTTAAGAATCTTGACTTCATCATGAAAGGAATGAAACTGTGCCATTTGCAGAGACGTGGATAGACCTAGAGACTGAAATACAGAGCGAAGAAAGTTAGAGAAAAACAAGTATCGTATATTCACACATGTATGTGGAATCTAGAAAAATGGTAGAGATAACCCTATTTGCAGAGCAAAAAAAGACACAGATGTGGAGAACGAACATGAACACCACGGGGAAAGGTGGGATGGGATGAACTGGGAGATTGGGATTGACATCCCTACACTAGTATCTATAAAACAGACAACTAATGAGAACCTACAAAAGAGAGTGTTTGGCTTAGAACAGTCTCCTGACCAAGTCACAAGCTTCTTAAGGGTAGAGAACCTACTTGTGTGAATGTCGCTCTGTTGTGTCCGACTCTTTGCGACCCCATGGACTATACAGTCCATGGAATTCTCCAGCCCAGAATACTGGAGTGGGTAGCCGTTCCCTTCTCCAGGGGACCTTCCCAACCCAGGGATCGAACCCAGGGCTCCTACAGTGCAGGCAGATTCTTCACCAGCTGAGCCACCAGGGCAGCCCAATAAGCCTTCATATGGTGAAAGTACTCCACAATAACTGTTGAGTGGATTGTTGATTTCCAATGATCAGGGCCGGCATCATAACACACTGACACATTTTCCAAATTGCCATTCACAGCATACAGTGTGCATATATCACTTCAGTGGACAGCTAATGTTTCATCTTTTCAGAACCTAGACTAGCATCTCCTCTTTCAAAGATTTTATATGTAAAGACACAATATGCTCCAAGCAATTGGACAGAAAATACACACCAAGCACAGAGAAAGTGTAAGCCTGAAGTTGTATGTTGATATCAGGTGAAATGCATGTTTGTTTTCTTGGAACTCCCTCCACCAACCAGCCACATGGTTCCTCTAGAAACTACTCTCTGTCCAGCATGACACAACGCTGGCCACTCTTGATTTACCAGTGATGTGTATGCGACACAGTGAGGTCCTCTACTTTTCTTTACCTCATAATTTTGAAACTAAAACTAAACCCAACTCATTCATCAGCTGCCTGAAGCTGTAATGTGTAAAACTCAAGCACTGCTGACAGCCATGATTATCCAGAATTGACTTGGCCCCTGGAGGAAGCTGTTCAAGAGAGATATACAGAAGAATTCAAAAAGAGAGGAAAAGAGAAGACAAAGCATTTGGATAAATTCAAGTGTCTGGTTTCAGTTGATTCCTGAAACCACCTGCATGCCCATTCTTGGTTCATTTGCAAACCCTGAATACATTACAAATGAGTCTCTTCTGGGCTTAAGTTGCTTCCTGTTGTTTTTCCTACTTTATATACACACACACACACACACAAAACAGGAACAGACTCACAGACTTTGAGAACAAACTTATGGTTACCAGGGGAAGGGATAGGGAGTTTGGGATGGACATGCACACACTGCTACTTTTAAAATGGATAACCAACAAGGACCTACTGAATAGCCCATGCAGCTCTGCTCAATGTTACATGGCGGTCTGGATGGGAGGGGAGTTAGAGGGAGAATGGATACATGTATATGCATGGCTGAGTTCCTTGGCTGTCCACCTGAAATTATCACAATATTGTTAACTGGCTATATAAAACAAATAAAACTCCAATATCATAGAAGACTCCAATATAAAATAAAAAATTACACATTTTAAATGAATAAAAAAAATGAGTCCTAACAAACATACTCATTTACCCTTGATAGTTACTTCAAGAAGTTTTCCCCCCATTTGTAATCTTTATAATGCAAAGTAGAAAGATGGGAAGAAAAACTTTTTAAATAAGAGACTGCCACAGGCATATGGGGAGAAGGGAAGGTGTTTCCAGGACCCCTGAAACCCCATCCTGCGGCCCACTCTCTGTTCTCCCTACCCGGCGGTACCCTGCGGCAGGCAGGCTCAGCACGGTGCATTGCTGGGCTGCAGCAAGAATCCCCAGCAACCAGGACAGTGCATCATCCAATTACACGGTCTATTGTTTCATTATTCACCCTACGTTGCCTGCACCTGCCACAACCCTGCTCGCCTCCACTTTCCACTGGCAAGCTCACCCTCCCTCCTCACACGCTGCAATCACACCCTGTTCTAAGACACTTCGGTATCCCATTAGTCTCAGTAAACAATATGCTTCACTTCAATTATACATTTAGAAACAGTATTCTCAATTCCTAGTGCCCATTTTGGCCAACGTTGTACCATAAACCTGGGGCTGCGAGAGTGAACTACGGAAGCAGAAATGTCAGGGCCGCAAATTAAAGTGGCCTCTGCTCTCTGCTCTTTGAGGCACACCTCAATGCAGGTACAGTCGTGCACACACCACACGGCATGCCCATCACACATATTGTACACACATCATATATACACCACACACGCCCGCCACACACACGCACACACACACATGCACACACACGTGTACCTACATGCACATCAGGAGAGCATAGTATTTGTACAGAACAGATAATTACATAATACATCTCTGGAACCCTGTCACTTTTGCTTTTTGTTAAGTCAATCAAATAATATTTGTATGATGCCATGAGACATGGAAGAGAAATGTAAATTCAGTGCCTTCAGGGAAATTGCATCATAGCAGGTGAAGAAAATATACACGTGGACAACATTTCTGAGCAATCAGTGAGAAAAGACAAAACTAAGATTCAGGTCCCGCTCCAGTATTCTTGTCTGGGAAATTCCACGGACAGAGGAGCCTGATGGGCTATATAGTCCATGGGGTCGCACAGAGTCCAACATGACTAAGAACTGAACAACAGGAGGGGACTCAAGGAGCTGAAACTCTGGCATTCCAGGAGAGCGCGTGGCTGAGCTGATGCTGGCATCTCTAAACTCAGTCAGACAAGGGGCTTGATGGAGCTGGGTCCTGGACTTCCAAAGAAGTGACAGCGGCCAGCTGGTCTGGATGTCTCAGGAGACACAATAAAGTTGGCAGCTGGATCTAAATGTGCATTTTGGAATAACAGGTTACTATAGGAAGGGACTGCCACTGCCTGGATGTACAAGCATTGCTTGGGTTTTGTTGCTAGAACAGGCAGCAAAGTCAGGGAGAGAAAGCAAACGGGGAAAGAAGATGCCCCTTTTCCCTTCCATAGGCTTCCTTTGGGTCCCTGTCAAGCTGGGCGATGGCAGTGGACATCAGGGGTCAGCTGGAGGACCAGAGGTGGACAATATGCTGAGTGGTGAGCAGGGTATCTGAGGGGCCATGTGCATAATGCAAAATCCACAAGGAATTAGGACTAACGAGCCAGATGGCTCTAGTGGTAAAGAACCTGCCTGCCAATGCGGGAGACATGAGACACTGGGTCAATCTCTGGGTTGGGAAGATCCCCTGGAGGAGGACATGGCAGCCCACTCCAGGATTCTTGCCTGGAGAATTCCACGGACAGAGGAGCCTGGAGTGCTACAATCCACAGGGTCACCAAGAGTCGGACAGGACTGAAGTTGACTTAGCACATATGCAACACTGTAAGGAATGAGGGAGGGTCCTGATGGGGGTTGAAAGGAAAAGACATCTATGCCTGCAACACAGAAGCTTCTACAAAATTTATTGTGAAATGCACTTCTGTTTGCACCATGCAACTGTGTGTCTTGAGAGGCAAAACAGAGATTCAGACCAATGGTGGGAATGTTTTTTTTCCCTATAAAGCATCAGATGGCAAATATTTCAGGCACTGTGAGCTCTGAGATCTCTGTAACAACTATTCAGGTCCACTGTGGCAGCCTGGAAGCAGTCACAGACAATATATAAATGACAGTATGTGGCCACACTCCCAGAAAAGTTTGTCAACACTGAAATTTGAATTTTATGTAATTTTCACATGTCCTAAAATGCATGATTCTTTTGACTTTTTTTTCCCCAGTCATTAAAAATGTGAAAGCTCACCTGTGAAGCACACAACAAGCGGCAGGTAGGATTTTCCTGCGGGTGTAGTTTGTCAACTCTGGACTTCAGCTCCAGCTCTGCCTGCAAAAAATATATAAAAACCTGCAGATAACAAGACATGCACACAACGATGTCTAGGAAGAGGCGAAAAATATGAACATGGTTTTTGAAAGATGTGCAAAAAGTTCTTGGCAATTTTGGGGACCCAGGGAGACTTTGGAAGGAGTAGAAAGTAAGAAAGTACAATGACTTAGAAACTGCTGACCTAGGTGTGGAGAGGAAGCAGTGAAGACCCCACCAGCACCCGATCTCCAGGCAGGGACCTGAGGAGGAGGTATTCCTGTTTGGGTGGAACTGTGTATTTTCCCACAGCCCCTCCACAGCCTCCCAGCCTGGCTATTTATCATAAATGGGCCAAAACAGCAGGTAGGAAACCATCATTTTTCTGGAGTTAACATTTTCAAATCTCACCCGTCCTTATAAATCAAGGTAACAGTGGATGTGATGGAAATCTGAGATGACAGAAGGGAAATGCCCAGACCCTCATAGACAGAATACCATTTACCACTGCATAAGTGATTTTCCTAAAAACACCAGGAGAACTTAGAGGAAAGACAGGAAAGGAAAATGAACTGTCTGGAAGAAATTAGCTTTTGGTCACTTGCACCCCTCCTGGGCTGCCTGATTGATGTGCTTTGGAATCTGAGTGTACAAAGACCACGTTCTCCATCATTACAGTTCAAATCAATTTGGAGTCACAGTGACTGCTGCCCATGCTCCTGCTCCCCAAATCAGGGAAAGCAAGAAAAACATTGACACCAGCAAGGAAGAAAGACACATCATTAAGGGCCTATGGCTTTGCAGCCAGGCTCTCAGGGTCCAAATCCTGTTTTTGCCACTTAATACAGTGATGCTTTGAATGAGGTGGATTATTATTATTCTGGGCTTCCCTAGTGGCTTAGTGGTAAAGAATCTGCCTTCCAATGCAGGAGACGCAGGTTCGATCCCTAGGTTGGAAGATCCTCTGAAAAGGAAATGACAACCCACTCCAGCATTCTTTGCCTGGAGAATCCCACGGACAGAGCAGCCTGGTTGGTTATAGTCCATGAGGTCACAGAAGGAGTCGGACACTTAGCAACTAAATGACAACAAAAATGTAGTATTCTGGACATCAGTTTCTTTCATATAAAGAAGTAGAGACAATAAAGGCATCTCTTACTGCGCTGATTAAATGGGTTAGTTTATACAAATTGCTTAAAATAGTTCTTGGTGCAAAGTGAGCAATTAATAAGTATGATAGGTTCTAAAGCCTAGTAGAATAGCCATTGTTAGGTTCTTGCAACTTAGAGGATAAACTTTGGCTCCTTGGTGTGAGGCACCATGAATAATAAGCTGCAATCGCAGTGAATTTCTTAATAGTCTATGAAGCCTCCACACCATCCTCATTTTATACTTTCGTGCTCACTCTTTAACTCAATAATCTTTCCCTATCCCTGTCTTCAAGAAAATTAGAGATACCAAGGGAACATTTCATGCAAAGATGGGCTCAATAAAGGACAGAAATGGTATGGACCTAACAGAAGCAGAAGATATTAAGAAGAGGTGGCAAGAATACAGAAGAACTGTACAAAAAAAGATCTTCATGACCCAGATAATCACGATGGTGTGATCACTCACCTAGAGCCAGACATCCTGGAATGTGAAGTCAAGTGGGCCTTAGGAAGCATCACTAGAAACAAAGCTAGTGGAGGTGATGGAATTCCAGTAGAGCTATTTCAAATCCTAAAAGATGATGCTGTGAAAGTTGCACTCAATATGCCAGCAAATTTGGAAAACTCAGCAGTGGCCACAGGACTGGAAAAGGTCAGTTTTCATTCCAATCCCTAAGAAAGGCAATGCCAAAGAACGCTCAAACTACCACACAGTTGCACTTCACTCACATGCTAGTAAAATAATGCTCCAAATTCTCCAAGTCAGGCTTCAACAATACACGAACCGTGAACTTCCAGATGTTCAAGCTGGTTTTTGAAAAGGCAGAGGAACCAGAAATCAAATTGCCAACATTGGCTGGATCATCGAAAAAGCAAGAGAGTTCCAGAAAAATATCTACTTCTGATGTATTGACTATGCCAAAGCCTTTGACTGTGTGGATCACAAAAAACTGTGGAAAATTCTGAAAGAGATGGGAGTACCAGACCACCTGACCTGCCTTTTGAGAAACCTGTATGCAGGTCAGGAAGCAACAGTTAGAACTGGACATGGAACAACAGACTGGTTCCAAATAGGGAAAGGAGTCCATCAAGGCTGTATATTGTCACCCAATACAGTATACTGACACACATATATGGAATTTAGAAAGATGGTAATGATGACCCTATATGCAAGACAGCAAAAGAGATACAGATGTATAGAACAGTCTTTTGGACTCTGTGGGAGAAGGCGACGATGGGATGATTTGAGAGAATAGCATTGAAACATGTATATTATCGTATATGAAACAGATTGCCAGTCCAGGTTAGATGCATGAGACAGGGTGCTCAGGGCTGGTGAACTGAGATGACCCTGAGGGATGGGATGGAGAGGGAGGTGGGAGGGGGGCTCATGATGGGGAACACATGTACACCCATGGCTGATTCATGTCTATGGCAAAAATCACCACAATATTGTAAAGTAATTAGCCTCCAATTGAAATTTTAAAAAAAGAAATGGAATCAAAGAAAGAAAGAAAGAAAAAGTTGGCTTGGCTTAAAGCTCAACATTCAGAAAACTAAGATCATGTCATCTGGTCCCATCACTTCATGGCAAATAGATGGGGAAACAGTAGAAAGAGTGACAGACTTTATTTGGGGGGGGGGCTCCAAAATCACTGCAGATGGTGACTCCAGCCATGAAATTAAAAGACACTTACTCCTTGAAAGGAAAGTTATGACCAACCTAGACAGCATAATAAAAAGCAGAGACATTACTTTGCCAACAAAGGTCCATCTAGTCAAGGCTGTGGTTTTTCCAATAGTCATGTATGGATGTGAGAGTTGGACTATAGAGAAAGCTGAGCGCCAAAGAATTGATGCTTTTGAACTGTGGTGTTGGAGAAGACTCTTGAGAGTCCCTTGGACTGTAAGGAGATCCAACCAGTCCATCCTAAATAAAGGAAATCAGTCCTGAATATCCATTGGAAGGATTGATGTTGAAACTGAAACTCCAATACTTTGGCCACCTGATGCAAAGAACTGACTTATTTGAAAGGACCCACATGCTGGGAAAGATTGAAGGCAGGAGGAGAAGGGGACGACAAAGGATGAGATGGTTAGATGGCATCACTCACTCAATGGACATGAGTTTGAGTAAACTCTGGGAGTTGGGCGTGCTGCAGTACACGGGGTTGCAAAGAGTCGGACACGACTGAGCAATTGAATTGAACTGATCCCAGTCTTAAAATTCCTACTCATCCTTTGAGATCTAGCACAAAAGTTTCTTGATTTTGTACACTTTTCTCTACCACGCTCCTGAAAAAATATTTAATTCCTTCCACTATGAGGTTTACTCAGTAAACTTTTCTCAACCTGCACAGCACCTGAGCATTAAAATGGGTCTTAAAGAACTCTAGCCCTCTGGCACTTCTATCATAAAAGATGTGGACATCCATTTGTATCTCTCTGGCAGGGGGCACATTTTTCTGCACATATTTTAAAACATCAGTTAGTCTTTGCTTCATATGCTAAATAAGAGTTACAGGGTGGTTGCATTTATTAATACCATAGAAGGTCCTCCACAAGTTAACTGAAAAGAAATTCCCATCTTTTGGTTCAACTTGGTACTGCTAAGAAGGACTGAACTTTAAAAAAAAGAAAGAAAAGGAAGAAAGGAAAGAAAAAGTAATGATCATATGAAAACCAAAAGGGAATTAAGCAGAGGGAACACATATGTAGGAATCATAGAAGCCCCAGTTCTACTATGGAATAGAGGCTCCAGACTCTTCTTGCTCAGAGGCAGAAGGTACTAGGAGGTCATGCTTTCAACCCAGAAATGCTTGGGACTTCACGGCTGATCTCCGCCTGCCAATGCAGGGGACTTGGGTTTGATCCTTGGTCCAGGAAGATCCCAGATGTTGTGGAGCAACTCAGCCCATGTACCACGACTACTGAGCCCACCCTCTAGAGCTTGTGCTCACGACAGGAGAAGCCACCACAATGAGGAGCCCGCGCACTGCAAGAGTAGTCCCCGCTCGGCACAACTAGAGAAAGCTCGGCAGAGCAACCGAGACCCAGCGCACCCAAAAATAAATAAATGCATAAAATTGAAAAAGACATCCCCTGGGTTCAAATCCCAACCACAGGACTGTGGTACATGAACTTGGGCAAGTGTATTCACAATTGAGAATTCTCAGTCATCAACTGAGCTTAAGTCAGAAAACACAAATATAAGCAATAATTAGGTAGACTTTACTGATAACGTTTTGCACGAGGCCTGACTCAATATAGGTGTGCATTAACCAAAATTAACTACCTTGGCCACTTCAGGGGTAAGGTGGGTACTTCAGTGTTCCCTAACCTAAGGATGGTTGGTTAATATCACCAACTCAATGGGTATGAGTTTGAGCAAACTCCAGGAGAGAGTGAGGGACAGAGAAACCTGGCATGCTGCAGTCCATGGGGTCACAAAGAGTCAGATACAAATTAGGGACTAAACCACAACAACAGTGACCTAAGGAAACCACTCCCCAATTGTAAAGAAATGGTAAAGCTTCCTAGGGAGCTTCCTATGATTCACTTTCAGGTCTCAGCCCACTTCATACTCTCTGTAATCCACTTTGCCCCCTTTTTTTTTTTATTCAGCTACACTTTGCTCAGTCGCCCCAGTCCTTTCTGATTCTGTATGAAGAGTTAGACTGTAGCCCACCAGGCTCCTCTGTCCATGGGATTCTCCAGACAAGAATACTGGAGTGGGTTGCCATTCCCTCCCCCAGGGGATCTTTTCAACCCAGGGGTCGAATTGGCAATTCCGATTCCTGGGTCTCCTGCATTGCAGGCCGGTTCTTCACCACTAAGTCACCAGGGAATCTGCAAGTAACCAGGTAACTGATAA